AACATTTTAGAGGGTGGTAAGACTGGGTTTCCCGGCTTTCGAATGCTTTGAAACGACCCCAAAACATCTCGAACTGGCCCTAACCCTAACCCACCTACGTCCCACGAGAGATTGCAGCCTAGGTCCCACGACTGAATGCAGCCTAGATCCCACGTCTGAATGCAGCCTATCTACCACCTCCTGAAATATTAGACTGTCCCATGACCTGTAGATTTTCCCTATTTTGGGTAGGATATTATTAAATCACCTCCTATTTTATTTATTTTGTTTGGATTTCCATATTCTTCTTCCTTTGTTGTATTATTGACGCGGTCTTAACCCTTTCAGTCTCAGGCAAGCATCACTTATCTCACTGTTTCCAAGTGTTTCGAACTGTAATGAATGTTAACCTCCAAAATGGTTGCAATGAGTTTTAAGCTTAAGATTGGTTAGACCCAGGGGAGAAGTTAAACCTAGGACCTAGGGGAGAAGTTAAACCTAAGACCTAGGGGGAAGGTTTAACCTAGGACCTAGGAGAGAAGTTAAACCTACGACCTAGGGGAGAAGTTAAACCTAAAAAAGGCGATAGACAGCCTGAGTTAAAGTAGCAATTGAGACACCACTGATTATTACAGTAGTTACCTGAGAACTTAGAAAAGAGTTAAAAATCACATCATGTCTGGATTATACGGAGTAGTCAGTAAACGCAGGATGAGTTGGCTAGTACTGACACAGTTTAAACACACCTGGAGGACTGGGCATTTCGAATCTGCTGTGAAATGGCTGTGTGTATATTTGTTGTAAACAAAACTGCTTGTTGATAAGTGCCTGCTTACACAGATAGATGTACCCGCATGAGACGCGGTTAAGGCATTTTCTTTGGTCATGTCACATTAAGGAGGTTGGGGCAAGGGGGGGGGAGGGTGAAGATAAAGGGGTAAAAAAGGATATTATGCAATTTAGCACCATGTTACAAAGGAGTTTCAGTTTTGTATAATTGATCACGATAGTCTGTAAGAAGAATAGAAAAAGAGTAATAAATGAAAAAAAAAAGGAGAGGAGGAGAAGAAGAAAAATAGGGGAGGCGGTGGAGAAGGGGAGGAAGAAGAAAAAGAAATGGGAAAAGAAGAAAGGAGGAAGAAGAAGAAACAAATTAGAAAAGTAGAGGAGGTGTAGGTGAAGAAGAACAAGAACAAAAAATTGGATAAGAAGAGAGGAAGAGAAGGAGAAAATGATGAAGAAGAAGAAGAAAATAAAACTGAAACCGTATGTTTAAATGTGCCAGAATGTATCTTAACTGAAGGCCCTACCTCTACGTGTACCTTTTGTATCTCCCACAGTGAACTTCGCCGGTAAAGGTCGAGTCAGCATGCAGGATTTCGAGCTGCTCAAAGTGCTAGGAACCGGAGGTAAGTCGCCACACAGGTGTCCCTATGTGTAGTTGACACCCTGTGTGTCTTCGATCACTTTACATTTTTTCGACTCCTCCACGTTCACTTCACATACAGTGACCCTGTGTGAATCGGTCTCTCTCTCTCTCTCTCTCTCTCTCTCTCTCTCTCTCTCTCTCTCTCTCTCTCTCTCTCTCTCTCTCTCTCTCTCTCTCTCTCCTAGCAGAACGGTTAGCTGCTTGCTGAGAGAGCGTCGCATCACGAACGATCACCATAGCTCCGGCGACGATCCTTAAGTGGTCTCCACACAAAAATTCCACCTGCGAAAGGAATCCATAACCTTCAGAGGGCGAGGTAAACGGCTTGACAACTTCACTACCCCGCACCCCATCTTTTTCCGCCTCCAGTCCTTTCGTGTAATACTAAATATATTCAAAATTCTACAACGTCTGTTTACTTCCTCAGCTAAATCGTTTTAACTCCTACTCACTTTCTGCCATTAAGCTGAGTTATCAGCATATATCTTAGAAAGTTTTATCATTGTTCCGGAACAGCAGACTCTGTTAAACATTAGAAGTAAAGCAGTAAAAGTTGTTGCTTGTTATTCCTGAATGCGGTTGTTGTTCCGTTCAGAAAATCTGAGCAATCTCAGCCAGCGGTTGTTGTTTTTCCCTATACGGAAACGTAGGCGTAACCCGAAAACGGTTGCAAGGATTTGGAACTGCGTCGCAGCCAGACCGTTATTTATTAAGTCAAATATAAACCACGTAGCTAACATTTCGTAATAGGGGAAAATACGGTAGTGTGTGACAAATGGTGTACGAGAATCTTCCTTTTTTCGGTACTTTTATATTAGTTTACCTCATCTGGTGGAGTCAGTTCCCAGGGAAAGTCCAATTTTATATGGAGGTTAGTGTTAGTCTATGCTTATTTCCTTTATCTAACACATAATGTACGATAATCTTCTTTTTCGGTATTTGTTTTTAGTTCACCTCATCTCGGGGAATCCGAGATTACCCTGGAAAGTCCAGAATTATAGGGTGTTAGAATTTGTTGGCGCTCGTTTCGTTTATGCAGCAAATAGTGTGCCGGAGTCTTCTTTTTCGGTACTTTCATTTTAGTTCACCTCACCTCAGGGAATCCGAGAGTTCCCAAGGAAAGTCCAGTATTAGAGGGGGGTTAGGGTTGGAGTTTGTCGGTGCCAATTCCATACATAACACCCCTATAATATTGGACTTTCTCCGGATAACTCGGTTTCCCTGAGATGGGATAAACTAGAGTGAAAGGACCTCTTTTTCTAACACGAAGGAGCGCCGCCACAAAGAAACATTGGAAGGGGCAGAGGGCCCCTGAGACCCCTTTGCTTACAAAATCCTGTGCCAAAGATGATTACGCCTTGTTCTAGTGCCTAATATTAACAACAATGATAAAACAAAGGATCCTGTTTATGCCCCTATACGTATTGGTTAGTAGTGCTAGACGTGTAATGTATAGACCATTCGGTGAGTGATGTGGTCAGAATCACGCCGGCCGCCTTTACCTCCCAGGACATAACCTGTTACCAAGTTTATAGGCTGGGTCAACCTGAGATCCAAGGTAACATTTTAAGAAATAATAATCCAGCTCGGCGCAGATGTCAACACACGACCTTCGAACCCGAATTAAAAAAAAGTGCTTTATATGTACACCGTGCTTGCGCCTGCCAATGTCATTTTGTCTGACATATATTCCCCCCCCCCCCCTTCCGCCCCCCACCAAAGGCTACCGGAAGATGTGACACACTTAGATTACAAAATCTCATTCCGAGCATATCCCGGTTCAACCTCCAAAGAGGATATAATTGAGGTACCATATACGGACGCAGCAAGCTGGGTGTTAACCTGCTGGGTGTAACCCGCAGTGTGTAACATGCTGGGTGTAACCCGCTGGGTGTAACCCGCTGGGTGTAACCTGCTGGGTGTAACCTACTGGGTGTTACCTGCTGGGTGTAAACCGCTGTGTGTAACCCACTGGGTGTAACCCACTGAGTGTAACCCTATGTGTGTAACCTGCGTCTGATACACCCATCTGGAGAACATCCGCCACATCCTGCACCCATTTTCTCTTTGGCCTTTCTCTTTTTGTCTTCCCAGGCATATACCCCTCCACTGCTGTTCTCTCTAAACTTTTGTGACGTTTCAGGTGACCAAAATATTTCAAATTTCTGTGTTTTATCGTCTTTAATTAGTAAGAATGCAACCGGATCGGATTGCCTATAAGGCCTTTTACAGTAGAACATCGGGAAGAAAGGCCAGAGGAAGGCCCAGGAAAAAATGGATAGATGGAGTAGCTGAATACGGCCAGAAGATCTAGAAAACTGTCACTCAAATCACGCGAGAGGCACAAAACAAATATTTTAAACCACGACACTGGGCTGCAACCCGGTAAAAGTGAAGAAGACAATAGATAGATAGATAGATCGTCTTTAATAGCCAACATTCTTCAGTACCCAGTTCTTGAAGAAAGAATGCATTTGTTCTGATCTAAACCCATGATATTCTAAGAACCCTGCTACACTCTACATATGACGTTAATTTAAAGAGGAAAGTGCCAAGATAGTTTCTCCAGAATGCCAGCATGCAACCACAGAGCACGGTTTTATTTCCTTTACAAACACGGACACATTGCACGCACACACACAAAACAGCACATTACGCACCCACACAGTAGGCTACAAGATCACTTTATCTTGCTGTGTATTTATGGAGCAGTCAGATTCGCAGTAAAGTGCCCTCCAAGTGCCCATGTGTGTATCTCGTGTTTTGTACGTTTCTATCTAATCCACGCACTTGTTTCTCGTTAGTCTCCACTTCATATTTGTTCCCTTCCCAGCGGCTTTTCCTAAGTTCTTTTTCCTACAATGGCCTTTTGTACTTTTAATCTACTCGTACAGCTCTTAGATAGATAGATAGATAGATAGATAGATAGATAGATAGATTAGATAGATAGATAGATAGATAGATAGATAGATAGATATGGATGGATGATGATGGATGGATGGATGGATGGATGGATGGATGGATGGATGGATGGATGGATGGATCCCATGGATGATGGATGGATGGATGGATGGATGGATGGATGGATGGATGGATGGATGGATGGATGGATGGATGGATGGATGGATGGATGGATGGATGGATGGATGGATGGATGGATGGATGGATGGATGGATGGATGGATGGATGGATGGATGGATGGATGTTTTTTTTCTTTCTTTTCCTTATGCATCTTTTCATGTTGCTTGTATGTTGGTGTGAAGTTCCCAAGTGCTTTTTTTAAGCATTTTCGGTACAGCTCACGTTTTCGGGCCTAGGTACGCTGTGAATTGCCGTTCATAAGTGCGTCTTAACCCGTTACTCTAAGTGGCAGAGTGTCAGTGTGTCTTCTGTGCAGTCTCTTATGTGGCATAGGCTGAGCCTGTGGCGTGGTTCTTAGTCTGCCATGGTGGCCGATTTTCTTCCATTCTGCATACATGTCCAGACCATCGTAACTGTGACTGATCCAATCGGGTTTGTAAGGACTGGGTTTCAAGATCCTGACATATTATCTGATTGCGGACTTTGTCCCTTCTTGCCACTTGGACCACCTTTCTCAGATATCTCATTTATGAGGCCTGAAGCTGGCTTCTTTAAGCTGTTGGCATTGCCCATGACTCACACACATAGGTCAGGACTGGTAGAGCAGTAAACAGCCATTTTTGTCCTCTTGCCAGTTTCTCTTTGCTAAGGAAGTCTCGGTTTATGGCCTGGAAGAGTCTCCCAGCAGCTGCTTTTCGTGTAGCCAGCTCAGCCTTAATGCCTCCGTTTAGGTCTGTTACAGCTCCAAGGTATTTGAACTGGTTAACCTGCTCCAATGCACACTGTCCCATCATGATCTGGTGTTTCTTCTCCTCTCTTGAGCTCACCATGGTTTTAGTTTTGGAGATACTGATGGTCATCCCTCTCTTCTTAAGCTCTTCCTTCCAGATAAGTAAGTTGGTCTGAAGGTGTGCCTCTGATTTAGTTATCAGTGCCGTATCATCTGCAATGCCAGCTCTGATATACAGATTGGTCTCATCTTCCAGTTACTAGTCACACTCCTTAAATCTTTCAGTACCAGGGAACATAGAATAGAGGTACGTCAGTAGGTTACTCTTTATATCCTGCACATTTTCATCTCACTTCCTCCGTCTCACTTTCCTGTTACCCCTCTCTCTTTCCCTTGTCTCTGTCTCTGCCTATCTGTCTCTCTGTTCCTGTTTCTCTACACTGTCCATCTTCTTTCTCCTGTTGTCTTCTTTTTCCTTCCTTTCCTTATCTTTCCCCCTTGCCTCATTTTCTCGTACGCCACTGCTCTAAATACTGCTGTTATTTCCTGCGTTAACTGAATACCCGCCCCTCCTCCTTTATTCTCCTGTTCGTCCTCTGCCCCTCCTCCTTTATTCTCCTGCTCGTCGTCTTGTCTTTGATATCCCATACATCTGTTTCCTCCCCGCCACCCCAGTCTCATATCTTTCTCTTTGTTGCCCTTATTCTGACATTTCTTTACCACTGATGCCACATTCCTGTATTCCCCATTAGCTTAACCCGTATTCCCGCCTCAGTGTATACTATACGTTACTTTTATTTTTGGTTCACCCCGTCTCGGGGACTCCAACATTTCGGCGTGAGTTTCTGGGAAAGTCCAGTATCATGGGAAGGAGGGGGGGGGGGAGTTAGGGTTAGTATTAGTCGGTTTTCATTCCATGCCTCAACACCTCTATACTATTAGACGTTCCCGAAAACTCCATGATATGTCAGAGTCCCCGAGATAGGGTGGGCAAAAAGAAAAGGACCTGCTAGCACACACACACAGAGTATACCTGCAGCGTTTTGAGAACCCCTGATCCAAATAAAATAACCCACAGCAACGTGAGCAGATTTTAACACCATAAACTCATACCACGAAAGGTAAACTTACTCTGCAAATAACGGGTCAGATATATTCATATCGCGCTGGGAAAGCAAATTGTTTTGTTGTTGTTGACTTCTTCTTTTTCTTCTTCTCCTCCTCCCTCTTCCTCCTCCTCCTCCTCCTCTTCCTCCTCCTCTTCCTCCTCCACCTCCTCCTCTTCCTCCTCCACCCCCACCTCCTAATTAAAACTAAACCGGACACATTTCAGACAACCCATGACATTTTTTTTTTTCAAACCAAACTGGACGATTTTTAAACCAAACTGGGACAATTTTCAAACCCCCCTGGGATTTTTTAAATTTTTTTTCAAAGCAAACACTTGACACACTTTATTTTCTATAAATGTATTCGTTTAAAAAAAAACAGGGTTGTGTATTGTAGTGTAGGACACAAGCAATTTATAAATCACTGATGCCAACCTGCATTGATGGCACGACGTCATGCTTGCCTGTTTGAACGCCTGTCTTTTGACACTGGTAACACATTCCTGACGCACTGTTATTTCCACTGGGACCAGATCTCTGCCGCACATTTTATCTGGTTTGTTGATATCTAGTGTTTAAAAGTATTCCACAGAGAGGAGAGAGAGAGAGAGAGAGAGAGAGAGAGAGAAAGATCATTGGAGTTACGAGAGAATAAACTGCAATAAATAAGTGGGGGGGGGGTGGCAAGAGAAAGTGAGAGAAAAGTATATATATATATATATATATATATATATATATATATATATATATATATATATATATATATATATATATATATATATATATATATATATATTTTCTCTCACTTTCTCTTATATATATATATATATATATAGAGCGAGGGAGGGAGGGAAGGAACGAGAAAGAAATAGTAGACAAGTGAAAGAAAGTTAATAGAAACGAAGAGAACAAGAAGTTTTTTTTTTTTTTTTTTGAATTTGTATAAAACCACCAAAGGTTAAAATATTTAAGAGGCCCAGGTGAAAACCTGGGAAAGAGAGGTGCCCGGAACTGCAAGTCCTGCCGGATAAACAGCAGGACAACTATATATCCAGTATATGTACGAGACAAACCCCAAGAATAATAAGAGCTTGACATCGTAACTCTTCATACGGACATATAGTTGACCTGGCTGTTTACCCGGGACAGGACTGATGAATCCACCGGCCCATAGATGCACCTCGACGCCCCGTCTGCTACCAGTGTTGACCGTACGGCCTCGGGGCTTGTGTCTTGTCCGGTCTTGACCGCCCGGCCTGGGCTCGTGTCTTATTTGTCGTTCGGTGTAAATAATTTTTCGCGGATGTGCTTGAAGACTGCAGGTTCCAACATGGCATTTTCTATGATGGATTGTTCTTCTCACTGTCCTTGTCATGTGAGGTTGGTGACGTTATATCCCCAGGATTCAGATCCGAAGTTTAGATGTATCAGCCGGAGCAGCGGGGCGTGAAGAACATGCAAGAGAAGTTGCTACATCAGCCAGCAAAGAACAGGCGTCCCCGACTTAAAAACAATGAGAAAAATGCTATGGGGATGATCGGAGCACTTATGGGATGGCCGCAGCTAAAAAGAAATCACAAGAAAGTTCGCGCGCTAATTATTTGGTAGGCCTTCGGGGGGGGGGGGGGGGGGGGGGTAGTGTTAACTCAAGCCTTGTTCAAGTGGGTAATATTAAATTGTAGTGTGTGCTGACTGGCAGATGATGTAGTAATATATTTTATGTAATGTATTATGCAATGTATATACACAGTTTGTTTTAGTAAGGGGTGGGGTGGAGAGACGCCCTATTTCACATTTTCTGCGACGGGAGAATATCGACCCGAACAGTTCGCACGTAAATACCAGGTATGCGTGATATTTTCCTCCTCGTCGCTTAGTTGTTAAGAGAATATGCGAGGGCAGGTAGCATCGCAATACTTGTAACTAGCAGCTTTTACACGTTAGACTGTCTGCCAGTGGCGTAAGCATACAGCGAGTGCTTTTCGTTATGTTCCAGACCTAATCCAAGCAGTGAACGTGTAAGAAATTGTAAACACTATTAACAAATAATTTTGTTTCTTTTGTTAAAGAAATCAATTTTTGTTGTACATGGAAAATAAAAGTAAACGGTTCAGTTGTGATGAACATCTAGTACCCTTACATATGGAACCTGGACAGAGATATGTTTAGCTGTGATGATAAACATCTGGAGCCGGGCTTACCAACTTTTGTTGTTGTTGGTGACACACTGTCTTCTTCTTTTTCTTCTTCTTATCTTCCTTCTTCTTCTTCTTCTTCTCCTTCTTCTTCTTCTCCTCCTCCTCCTCCTCCTCCTTCTTCTTCCTCTTCTTCTTCTTCTTCTTCTTCTTCTTCTTCTTCTTCTTCTTCTTCTTCTTCTTCTTCTTCTTCTTCCTCCTCCTCCTCCTCTGCCTCTTCCTCTTCTTTTGCTGCTGCTGCTGCTGCCGCTGCTTCTGCTGCTGCTGCCGCCGCTGCTTCTGCTGCTGCTGCCGCTGCTTCTTCTTCTTCTTCGTCCATGCCTTGATGTCAGACTGTCCAGCATCTGTTATCTCGGTCTCCCTCTGCCTCTCCTCCCCTCCAACTTTCCCACCGTCATCTCACGATGTACTCCAGTTTTCTCCTTCTCATCACATGACCAAAGAATGTAAATTGTCTTTTTTCTGATGATGTGGGCAATAAGTTCTCTTCGTGAGCCAGGAGAAAAAAAAATTGCTTGCCTCCCAGGTCGACCGCCGTATGTGGTTGCAAGGTTAAATGGAGGAACGTCGATGTAGCTACGGAGTTGCGTGCGGACGGAGACACAGGCGGACAGTTACTTATCAGCTGTCCAAATTGGTGGCGGAGCAATTTTGGTTTATAACCGTGTGCAATGACGCTGGTTCACATCTCACGACTTGACCTTTACCTTTACTTGTATTTGCTCATGTGCAGCCTATGGGAAGGTGTTTTTGGTGCGCAAGATTGGAGGCAGGGACAATGGGAAGCTGTATGCTCTGAAGCAGCTCAAGAAGGCCTCGATCGTCCAGAAGACAAAGACCACAGAACACACGAGAACCGAGCGTCAGGTGCTGGAGGCCATCAGACAATCCCCGTTCTTGGTCACACTACACTACGCCTTTCAGACAGACTCCAAGCTAAATCTCATTTTGGGTAAGTCTTTTGTCAGTGTTTTCCCTCTTTCATTGTCTGTTGTAAATGTTTTCCTCTTTCATTGTCTGTTGTGAAAGTCTTCATGTTTCATTATTGTGAATGTTTTCCTCTTTCATTGTCTGTTGTGAACGTCTTCCTTTTTCATTGTCTGTTGTGAATGTTTTTCTCTTTTAATTTGGGTTGTGAATGCCTTCCTCTTTCATTGTCTGTTGTGAATGTCCTCCTCTTTTGTCTTTTGTGAAAGTTTTCCTCTTTCATTGTCTGTTGTGAATGTTTTCCTCTTTCCTTGTCTGTTTTGAATGTATTCTACTTTCATTGTCTGTTGTGAATGTCTTCCTCTTTCATTGTGAACGTCTTCCTCTTTCGTTGTGTGTTGTGAATGTTTTCCTCTTTCATATTTCATTGTGAATGTCTTCCTCTTTCATTGTCTGTTGTGTTATACAATTGAACATGGTTTCTGAGATTTACACCTGTTAGGATTCTCATTCTTCTTCTGCTTCTTCTTCGATCCTTCTGTCAGAAAATTGATATCGGAGGCCAGTCAACTTTATGAAAGCTGTCGTACAGTCCATATCTTCTTGTGTACCATACAACTTTGTCTTCACTGTTGTTGGAACAGGCCAGATTGCGTCTGTGTTGTCAGCTTACAGTTGACAGTGTTGGATTATGTGCTCAGCATTTTCTGGTGCCAAGTTGCAGCGACTCATTTTCATTGTATTTTGTGCCGAAAAATGTGGATATTTGTTGGCAAAGTCTGTTGTGCCCTGTCATTAGTCCAAATATGATACATTCTTCCTCTCCAGAGAGCTGATGAAGCAAGTCTTGGGTGGAAAATGGTGGTGTATCCAGCCACCTTTCTGGGATACTAGTTTTGACTAATGTCTTAAGTCTTTTAGAGGGTGAAGTCACGATTTGGTTGCATCATGTCACTGCCGCTTCTGGACAGTCTATTGGTTGTTAATCTTTCTTCTTCTTCTTTATTCACTAGCTGCGAGCTCCGGCGGAACGTCCTGGTTGGTCGTCCATTTGAGCCTGAGTTTTGCGCGTACTTCCGGTTTACTAGCTTATTTGTGTGAAGCTGGTTGTTCCTAGCCGCTCGGGCAAATGTGCTCCGACTACGAAAGCAATCCGCAATTAGTCGACTCCTACGACATGCTTGTTGGGGAGTCAGTGGGTCTGTTTATGTTCTCCCCACAATAGGGCTCCAGAACCCACACGGGGATGTTAATCATTCAGTGTGCAAACCTTGAAAAAGGCATTTTAAAATAAATATTGAAATTTAAAAAAAAACTGGTGCAAGCAGTACTTTGTCTTATTTTCTTGTTCGTATTCTAACGAGTGTTAACTATGGATTTTGTGCACACCAGCTGGTGCAGAAGTCAGATTTGATAGCCCGCAACATCGATATTCCACAGATTTTGTCAATGGAGGTGAGATGTTCACACACCTCTACCAGCGAGAGCATTTTACTGAAGATGAGGTTCGAATCTACATAGGGGAGATTACTCTGGCTTTGGAAACATTACATAAGGTTAGTGTGTCCATTCTGAGTGGCGGAACCTGATGACAAATTTCTCTTTCTTCCCCCTCCTCAATTTTCTCCCTCCCCCCCCACCCCCCCCCCCCCCACCTCCCCCCCCCAACCCCCCCCCCCACCCCCCCCCCCCCCCCCCCCCCCTCACCCCCCCCCCCCCCCCCGGCATTTGTTTTGTACTCGCTCTCTGTTTCCTTGTCTCTTGACGGTTTCTCTCTCTCTCTGTCTCCCTCTCTCTCTCCCCCCCCTCTCTCTCTCTCTCTCTCTCTCGCCCCCCCTCTCTCTCTCTCTCTCTCTCTCCCTCTCTCTCTCTCTACCTCTCCCCCCCCTCCCCCCCTGCTCTCTATCTCTATTTAATTCCCTATTTGTTTCTCTTATATTAGCTTTCTCGTCTATTTGCCTGTTCTGTCATGTTTTCCTTCTTCATGTTTTTTTTAATTTGTTTTTTAACTCTGCTCAGCTTATTATGCTTTATAGCATTCTGAAATTGTTCTCTTTCTGGCTTTTTTTTTTCTACATGCTGCTTTATTTTACCTTATATGTTGTCATTGGTTTAATATTTTTCTTTCTTTTTTTTTCTTTATTTCTTTTCTTTCCTTTCCTTCTTCCCCCAACCTTCCTTCCTTCCTTTTACCTATTTTTTTTTTGTTTTGATTTCCTTTATTCCTAAAATTGTTTGCATAATCCTGCTTTTTTTCTCTTTCTCCACTTGTTTCATTTTCTTTCTTTCTTTCTTTCTTTCTTTCTTTCTTTCTTTCTTTCTTTCTTTCTTTCTTTCTTTCTTTTTGCCCTTTCCTGCTTTCTTTTTTTTTTCTTTTTTTCTTTTTTTTTTGTCTCTTTCTTTTTTTTGTCTCTTTTTTCTTTCTTTTTGACTTTCTTTCTTTCAACCTTTCTTTCTTTCTTCTTTCTTTATTTCTTTCTTTCTTTCTTTCTTCTTTCTTTCATTTCAAATTCTGCATTCTTTCTTTCTTCACCCTTTCTTTCTCTTCATTTTCTTTCGTTCTTTCTTTCTTTCAACTTTCTTTCTTTCTTTCTTTCTTTTCTTTCTTTCTTTCTTTCTTTCTTTCATTCAGTTTTCCCTCATTCTGACTTCTCCCCCTGCAACCTTAACTTCTGTCTTGTTTCATCTTATTTAATTTTTCCTTCCTTCATTCTTTATTTTCCCCCAATCTTGCCTTCTTTAAGTTTTTCTCCGTTTGTTTCATTCTTCATTTGTTTTCCCCATTGAGGACTGACAACAAACAACCATAACATGCAGAACCTCTTCTATCTACAGCTGGGTATCATCTATCGAGACATCAAGCTAGAGAATATTCTGTTAGATGCCGATGGACACATTGTGCTTACAGATTTTGGTCTCAGCAAAGAGTTTCTACCCACAGACCCTGTAAGTGCCAATCATCTTCATAATAGCAATCACTGTTTTGCTTCCAACACTGTTGCTTATCCATAGCAGGTGTTTTGTGTTTGTTTATCATGTCCTAAATGATAACTGTTATTTTTGTTTCAATCACTATGTTAGTGTCAGAATTGATCCATTTAACAAGAAAAAGAAACATACTTGTATTACTTTTATTTACTACTTTAAGAGTAGTGTAGGATCTGGTGAAAAGGAAGGAGTGGGCAAGATCTGAAGATTTAAGACTGCATGCATAGCTAGTTAAAAGTTAGTTGTGTATCCTTTACAGGACATCGCAGAACCAACCCCAGCATTTTATGGCTGCTGTGGTTTTTATAGGCAAATTTCATGTTCTGTAGTTTGCCATTGCTTCCTGAACGGTCAATAGTCAGTACCACCGTCAAAACCAACGCAAGACAGATTGTCCGCAGCTGGGATCGAACCCTGCTCCCCGGGTTTACAAAACAGGTTTGCAACACCTAAGCCACAGATGCTGACACATGCTAGTACATCCGCCATTTGTTCTCAGCCCTTACCAAAGATCGAAGGGATGAACACCCGGTGACAAAAAGTGCCACCATGCGGATGAGGATCACCCGTGGAGAGGTCCTAGAAACTCCTTTCAGCCGTTAGGCCATATCCCAGGGTGGGGCTTTAAATAAAAAAAAATTGCATCCCAATGGGGACGACATGTACAGAATAGAAAGGATGGAGAGACTGTGAGCTGTATGTGACATAATACAGGACAGTGAGTGAATAAATATTTGAAATCCACAGTATATGAAATCCAACAACAATGAAATACCTGACATAAATAAATAATTCTGTAATTGCTGATACATTTGCAGACACATCGGACATATTCATTCTGTGGAACCATCGAGTATATGGCTCCTGAAGTGGTCAAGGGTGGGCAGACTGGTCATGACTTTGTAAGTGTTTATTATATTTGTCTTTGATTCATATTAGTATCTTGTGTTTGTTACTTTACCCCACCAGCTTACACACACACACACACACACAGACACAGACACACACACAGAAAAAGAGAGTCAAGGTTCCAGTAGCCAAAGTTCCAGTAGCCAAGGTTCTAGTAGCCAAAGTTCCAGTAGCCAAAGTTCCAGTAGTCAAAGTTCCAGTAGCCAAAGTTCCAGTAGTCAAGGTTCCAGTAGCCAAAGTTCCAGTAGTCAAGGTTCCAGTAGCCAAAGTTTCAGTAGCCAAAGTTTCAGTAGTCAAGGTTCCAGTAGCCAAAGTTCCAGTAGTCAAGGTTCCAGTAGCCAAAGTTCCAGTAGTCGAGGTTTCAGCCTCATGGATCACCCTATAACTGATCATTCCTGCATCAGTGAAAATCACACAAGATGTCACTGTCTTATTTTAAAACTAGTGAAACAGTCCCAGCACACGCAAAGTAAAAAATGCACAAGGCAGCTGTCAGATGTGCCGACACTAATGGTTCTGCACTAGTGTTGCAGTTCATTTTGGCGCATACTGTCAATCACCAAAGCTGATATTGCACCCACAAAAGTTCACACCATTTTTGAATGTAATCGGCTGCATCTGTTATTGGTTTTTTGTTATTGGTTTTTATCATGAAACCTACCCTTCCATTAGTGTTCTCTACAAAACATTATGGTGTTTCAGTATGCCTGAAGTATTTTGTTTCTAAGAAATAGTACTGTCTGTGAGCCAGTGGTTCTTGATACAATGCCGACCTGATAAGGAGAACTCCCTGAGGACCCAAGAAATGGGTTTTCTTATCAAGAATTCCTCATAACTGGATAAGAGTTTAGGCAAATAGCATTGCTGGGGTTAAACAAACAAATTGTTTTTCACAACATACATTTTTAACCAGATATTTTAGAGTTATATGAAATATATATTTTGAAGCTATATAAACTGCATTCAACAGCCAAAATTCTGTCAGAGAAGAAACTCATAATCCTCAAGTTTTAAACACTTCCCCATGTTTGTGACTTCTTTTCAGGCTGTGGACTGGTGGTCCCTTGGAGTGCTGGCTTATGAACTGTTGACTGGTGCCTCTCCTTTCACAGTTGATGGAGAGAAGAACACACAGAGTGAGATTTCAAAGTGAGTGCTCATTAGAGCTGCTTGTTTTTGTTCATTGAGGGACTTTATAGCCAAATTGAGGCTGCAATCCTGATGGTTTTATTTTCTTCTTCTTCTTTTCCTCCTCCTCCTCCTTCTCCTCCTTCTGCTTCTTCTTCTCCTTCTTCTCCTTCTTTTTCATCTTCTTCTTTATCATCTTCTTCGTCATCTTCTTCTTCATCATCATCTTCTTCTTCTTCTGCAATTGCACTTAAAAGGACGATTGGCTTGTTATGTTGTGGTTTACATCTTGGCTGCAATATTTGAGCCTTTTGGCCCAGTACGATTTCAACCAACCCCTGATAAGCCATCTTTCACACCATGTTTATTGAGGAGAGAGGAGGTGAGTCTAGCTCCCCATTTTCTGAACACATACATACACACAGAGAATTTTGTCTTTGATTCCCTATCAAATAGAGGATTTGTAAAACCTAGTCTAAAAGCAAGGACTGTGAAATGTTTGAGAAGTTCAGGCAGAGGTGACAGCATTGTCCGTCAGGCAGAGGTGACAGCATTGTCCGTCAGGCAGAGGTGACAGCATTGTCCGTCAGGCAGAGGTGACAGCATTGTCCGTCAGGCAGAGGTGACAGCATTGTCCGTCAGGCAGAGGTGACAGCATTGTCCGTCAGGCAGAGGTGACAGCATTGTCCGTCAGGCAGAGGTGACAGCATTGTCCGTCAGGCAGAGGTGACAGCATTGTCCGTCAGGCAGAGGTGACAGCATTGTCCGTCAGGCAGAGGTGACAGCATTGTCCGTCAGGCAGAGGTGACAGCATTGTCCGTCAGGCAGAGGTGACAGCATTGTCCGTCAGGCAGAGGTGACAGCATTGTCCGTCAGGCAGAGGTGACAGCATTGTCCGTCAGGCAGAGGTGACAGCATTGTCCGTCAGGCAGAGGTGACAGCATTGTCCGTCAGGCAGAGGTGACAGCATTGTCCGTCAGGCAGAGGTGACAGCATTGTCCGTCAGGCAGAGGTGACAGCATTGTCCGTCAGGCAGAGGTGACAGCATTGTCCGTCAGGCAGAGGTGACAGCATTGTCCGTCAGGCAGAGGTGACAGCATTGTCCGTCAGGCAGAGGTGACAGCATTGTCCGTCAGGCAGAGGTGACAGCATTGTCCGTCAGGCAGAGGTGACAGCATTGTCCGTCAGGCAGAGGTGACAGCATTGTCTGTCAGGCAGAGGTGACAGCATTGTCCGTCAGGCAGAGGTGACAGCATTGTCCGTCAGGCAGAGGTGACAGCATTGTCCGTCAGGCAGAGGTGACAGCATTGTCCGTCAGGTGCTTGTGGTCTAATCAAATACAGGACTATACTTTTGGGCTCTTTTAACTTTTTCCCTGTGTGGGTTCCGGGGCTCCATTTAGGAGAACAAAGAATAGACCCGCTGCCTCTCTAATAAGAATGTCATAGTAGGTGGCTAACTTGGGTGGGGGGGGGGGAGTGGTTCCTTTAAAGTCGGAGTACCAACAGTCTGCACATAGATAAGTCAGATCTTTAAGGATGTGCACACAAAAGTTCTAGATCAAGACCAAAGTCCAGGAGTGGATGAACCACCAGAACTTTCCGCTGGAGGTTACAGCCTAGTGAACATTAAGAAGAAGATTTAACTCTTTCACTATGAGAGGACAGTTAAGTTAGGTATAAATCAGTCATGATGTCTCTCGACGAAAGAGTCCTGAGTGTTGACAACTCTGTAGAACCCTGCATGGTCTGCAGAAGATGGGAAACTAAATTGCAAAATCGGCTGGTTACAGCTGAATTAGAGACCAGTACTGTTCTTAAACCAGCTGCGGGCCTTGCGCCTTGCAGTGATTTAAAAAGGGGTATCAAGAAGCCCAGAAAGCAGTGGCAAACTACTGGACGTAAATCTGCCTAGAAAAACCACAACAGCCAAAAAATGCCGGGGTTGGTTCTGCAGTGTCCTGTAAAGGATATGCAACTAACTTTAACTGTTCTTAGACTAGTTTTTTAGTGTTTGTTGTTGTGTTTGGTAATCTTAGTTTCAGCTTCCTGGCAAACATGTCACCCCATAGTTGTTCTATCAATGAAAAACACACAGCATGTCTACCCCTGTCCCTTGTGGACAAATTGACATAGACTGCAGTCTCTGCATATTCACTAGCATACACACGCATTAAAAGCATAAGGCAGTCATCAGATGTGCTAACACAAACAGTCCGACATTAGAAAATGAAGTTCGTCATTGATGGAAGCAGCAGTTACAAACACATCAGCAGTTCCACATACAATTGATTTTGATTACATAAGGCACCACCAACAGACCACGCGTCATTTTCTAAATCTACAGTTTACAACACCTTGTTGGCCACAGTTGAAAAACATTCCAAATAAAATCTGCAGCTCACAGTGTCCCTCCATGCACTCAGCTCAGTAGCCAGGAGAAAAAACTATATTCTTTCAGTTTACAAGTGGAAGAAAATGTAATAGCCACCGTCTATGAGAAGCAAAACATTTTTCACGACTAAGAACAGTGACTGGCCTATCGTTCAATTGATCGTCTTGTTGTGTTTATTATTACTTGCTCTTGAATATATTACATTATAATGCTACTTCTGCTTTTTTCTTAAAGATATTACATTACAATGCTACTTCTGCGTCCTTATTGCAGGAGGATCATGAAGTGCAATCCTCCGTACTCCAAATCATTCTCGCCAGATGTGAAAGACCTCATCCAGAAACTACTGACAAAGGATCCATCCAAAAGATTGGGCTCGAAAAGTGTGGAGGAGGTTAAAAGACACCCTTTCTTCAAGGTGACTAAAAACTACATTTTTAAAACACATGCAAAAATTTGTGCTGATGAAAATCTGACTAGAAAATTTCTGACTCTTCCAGTGAATCCATTCTAATATATTGTTGTACAATTAGCAAACAAGCTTTTAAAACACAGAAATTTAATTTTTTTTTTAAAGTAGTCTACGTTGTGGGGCATTGGTAGGCATGTTATCCACAACCTTCTGTCTCGTGTACTTTCAGTCAGCTCTGACACACATGATCCTCCATGCCGTGATGTCAGACTGTCCAGCATCTTTTCTCTCGGTCTGCCTCTCCTCCACTCCAACTTTCCTACCGTAAGAGGATGTACTTAGGTTTTTCTCCTTGTCATCACATGACCAAATAATGTAGATTTTCTCCTTCTGACGTGGGCAATCAGTTCTTTTCTCTTTCAAATCATCTTCATTTCTCTCTTTATCTGTCCAGGGTATTCTTATCATTCTTCTATAAAGCCACATCTCCTCAGCTTCTAAATAAATTTTAACTAATCTACCAACTGTCCATGATTCACTTCCAGATATCAAGAAAATAAAACTTTAAAAGACACAGTTGACATTCACACTGAGCTAGGTTGAGTTAGGAATTGATATCACAGCACTCAGGACATTCCCATAAGTGATCTCTCCCATTTTTCAGCAGCCAGCTCAGTTCTGATGGCATCAGCAGCATTTTCATTTTGTGTCTTATTTAGCCTTTCTTGTGGGTTTTGAGTGTCGGGCAGATTCCTTGGTCACTCCCGGCTGCACCGTTATCTTCACTTCATGATGACCTTTTAGTCAGTCTGCATTGTTAACTCACTCTCAAAGGGTCTTGACCACATATAGGTTGTCATGCATCAATGTACCAGCCAGCAGTACAGTCTGACTGTTCATTTCCTAACCCCTAAATAGCCTTCAAAAAATACCTGGAATCTCTGAAGCGATCCTAATAACAGTCTGCACAGATCATACCTGTCTCCACCATACTCAACATGCTTGGTGAGTCTTTTACAATGACGTGTGTGAATCTGGTTCTGGAGCCAGAGGATAGCTGCAGTGACTGCCTCCACCTCTATTCTTAGACCTGATATATCACAGTACTCATAGACATTGTTAGTGGTTATGATAGGACATGTTAACTTGTTACTTGTCACTGGCTCATAGTGGTGTCTCTGCTATCATTGACCTCTCCTGGCTCTCTTGTAGAGAAACTTAATAGTTGTTTTGTCATCAGAGGGAGCTCTTATATGTAACTGTAGCAAGTCATACACCTTGGGCGCTTTGTAGGGTGCGTTACCTTGATCTTGCACAGAAGAAGGTGCCAGCTCCATTTGTCCCAAAGATCCGCAATGAATTGGACCTCAGCAATTTCTCAGAAGAGTTCACCAAGATGGCTGCCACAGAGTCCCCAGCAATTGTGCCAAACATGGGAGAGAAGCTCTTCAAGGTAGGAGTTTTGTTAAGTGTTCAGACAAGAAATAATGGCAAGCATAATAGTCATGGTAGAGCAATGTTTAGCATGCTTATCTTTCAAACTGGTGGTTATGTGTTCAAATCCTCTTTGAGGTGAAGATGTTTTTAATTGAACTGGGTTCTCAGGTTAACCTAGCCTGTGATAACTACTGTCAAAACTTATGGGAAATAAAGGTGGTTCGCATGATATAGACCACGTCATCTCTTCATTGGGGCTAACATCTCATCGCATGAAAAGGAGAGTCTTTACATTTGATTTGTCACCTGATAGTTTTGAATGTTGCGTCAGCGGTAAGGACTCTTCATCGACATTCACTGGCGCTAAATATATCTTAGTGAATCATCTGTTGTGCCATTAAACACCACATAGGGCTTGGTCTAGTCCCTGATTCCAATCCTCTCTTGTGCAGTCCTCTTGTTACCATGGATAGAATCCATTCTAGTGCCTCACTCGATCCTCTCCTATGCAATCCTCTTATTACCATTTTATGGAATCCATTCTACTGCCTCATTCCATCCTCTCCTATGCAATCCTCTTATTACCATTTTATGGAATCCATTCTATTGCTTCACTCCATCCTCTCCTGTGCAATCCTCTCGTTACCATTTTATGGAATACATCTAGTGCCTCACTCCATCCTCTCCTGCGCAATCCTCTCGTTACCATTTTATGGAATACATTCTATTGCCTCTCTCGACAATGTCTGCGGCATATAAAGAAGCTAAATCTGTAAAAGAGACATACACGCAAAACTGGATCGAGACCAAAGTCCAGAGGTTGGACAAACATTCAGAACTTTCTGCTAGAGTTTACAACTGGTGAATGTGAAGAAGATGAAAAGAAAAGAAAATTTTTTTAATCTTTTTTTTTTCTGCATTACCATTTTCTTTATTAAATCCTATTCTGTATATTATCATGTTCTATATGTGTGGTTTTGTTTTTAAATTCCTGTTCTCCTCCACAGGGCTACTCGTACGTTGCTCCTTCCATCATCTTTACGGAAAACTCTGTGAGTGCTGATATTTTACACAAGTGTAGCGAGCACCAGCCAGATGACTTTGCTCTGTGGACAGCCAGCCACTTTAAGGTGAGTTCGGACAATCTGCAGGATCAGATATATTGTTGTTTCCATCTTGTCATGTATCATTATTTCCATATTGTCATATACCGTTATTTCCATCTTCTCATGTATCATTATTTCCATATTGTCATATACCGTTATTTCCATCTTGTCATGTATCATTATTTTCTTTGTTTCTTGTTCTTCCTTGTTTATATCTTTTCCTTCCCGTATCGGTTCTGGGGCCCCTTTTGCGGGGACTACAAGAATAGACCCACTGCCTCCCCAGCAAGCATGTCGTAGGAGTTGACTAACTGGGGACTTCCTTGGAAGTTGGAGTGCATCTGCCCGAGCGGCAAGGAACAATCAGCTGCACACAGATAAGCCAGTAAATCGGACCTACATGCAGAACTCAGACCCTGGCACAAAGCCAAATGAAACAAACATCCAGGACTTTTTCTCTGGAGCTTACAGCCGGTAAACGAACACCCCCTCCCTTTTTCTTCTTCTATTTGCCTCTCCTCTTCTACCTTTTCCCTCATCCCCCTTCCTCCTTTGATAGTAATATATATTATTGATGTTTTTGTCTTCCAGGATAAGTATGATAGTAATGTGTTATTGTTGATATTTTTATCTTTTGATAGGGGTATGATAGCAATATTTTATTGTTTTTATCTGTAAAGAGTGGTATGACAGTAAAAATTTGTTGATGCTTTTTTTGCCTTTCAGTAGTGTTATGATAGTAATATTTGCTTTCCAGTAATGTAATAATAGTAATTTTTGCCTTCCAGTAGTGTAATGGTAGTAATCTCTCCATCGTCTTCTTGGTTTTTGCCTTCCAGTAGTGTTATGATGCCTTCCAGTAGTAAGTGTTATGATGGTTTTTTGCCTTCCAGTAGTGTTATGATAGTAATTTTTGCCTTCCAGTAGTGTTATGATAGTAATTTTTGCCTTCCAGTAGTGTTATGATAGTAAATTTTTGCCTTCCAGTAGTGTTATGATAGTAAATTTTTGCCTTCCAGTAGTGTTATGATAGTAATTTTTTGCCTTCCAGTAGTGTTATGATAGTAATGTTTGTCTTCCAGTAGTGTTATGATAGTAATGTTTGTCTTCCAGTAGTGTTATGATAGTAATGTTTGTCTTCCAGTAGTGTTATGATAGTAATTTTTGCCTTCCAGTAGTGTTATGATGGTAATTTTTTGCCTTCCAGTAGTGTTATGATAGTAAATTTTTGCCTTCCAGTAGTGTTATGATAGTAATTTGTTATTGACGCTCTTATCTTCCAGTACCACACGTACATGTCATGGAGCTGCTGAAAGGGGGAGAACTGCTGGGCAGATTGCGGAAGAAAAAGTTTTTCACAGAGACGGAAGCTAGCGAGCTCATGTGGAAGCTGGTCAAGGCGGTAGAGTTCCTGCACAGTCGAGGGGTGGTTCATCGGGATCTTCAAACCTGAGGTAATATTGAGTATATTTTCTTTTGTGGCTCGCTGTTTCTCTGAAGACTTTTCCTTCCTTTATATTCTTCCTCATCCTTGCTTATTTCTTTTTGTCAGTATCTGCTTATGCCGCTAGGCGTCGCAGTTCATCAGATGATTGGCAGCTGAGCCAGGGCGTGCCCCGTCGCTTGATATGCGCTGATACTATGTAGTCTCAAGGTGTCAGTAATTCCTTCAATCCATCTTCTTCTCAGTCTTCCCCTGCCTCTTGATGTTTCGATTTTCAGATTGTGCACTCTTGCTGCTGGCATCGTTAGTTTCATTCTCATTAGATGACCAAACCATTTCACTATTTGTTCTCAATAAATTTGATGATGGGTTTTGTTCCAACAGTTCTTATGATCATGTCATTTCTCACTCGATCTCTTCTGGTTTTATTCACAGCCATTCTCAAACATCTCATCTCACAGGTGGTTAGTTTTCTTTCGTGTTCTTTTGTCAGTATCCAAGTCTTGACACAGGTAAACTAAAGTCGGTATAAATATTGTATTTATATTTGTCTCATCCTTTACCTGTATGTATTTTCCTCTCTTCCAGCACTTTTCCTTCCTTCTTTACCTTTTTTCCCTCTTCCTCCTCCTCCCACCCTCCACCTCATATTTGTGCCTCCTTTTCTTCCACTTCTTCTTTCATTACTTCTCCTCCTCCTCCTGCTCCCTACCCTCTTCTTCCTCTTCATATTATTCCTCCTCCTCCTGCTATTCTTTTTGTTCTTCTTCTTTTTCTACAGTACAGGCTGCCAGAATTATCAGTCATCATCCCACTCCCACATAGCACAACTACAGTACAGGCTTTCACAACTGTCAGTCATCATCCCACTCCCACAGAACACAACTACAGTACAGGCTGTCACAACTATCAGTCATCATCCCACTCCCACATAGCACAACTACAGTACAGGCTGCCAGAACTATGTCATCATCCCACTCCCACAGAACACAACTACAGTACAGGCTGCCCCAACTATCAGTCATCATCCCACTCTCACAGAGCACAACTACAGTACAGGCTGCCAGAACTGTCAGTCATCATCCCACTCCCACGGAACACAACTACAGTACAGGCTGCCACCACAAAATCCTGCATTGGAAACATGCAAACAAATAGCAGCCCATGAGAGGGGAACAGAATAATCCTAGAGAAGTTACAGCCAGCGAAAAATAACACCCTCAATCGTTGCCATCTTGAAAATGGAAGTCCTGCCAGTGTGACCAACCATCATGTTTGTGTGTACATTTATTACTTTCTCTAGAAGATTTTATTTCATATAATGCATCCTAACTGCTCATTTGCCAGTGTGTATTTTGTCATCTAGCTGAATGTTTCTCATAACCTCACCCTTGTTCTCATCAATCCAGAACCTTCTCTTTGAGGACAACTCAGACAAGGCTGAGTTGAAGATTGTAGACTTTGGGTTCGCTGCCCTGAACCCCAAGAATGAGACTATGATGACCCCGTGCTTCACGCTGCCCTACAGTGCCCCAGAGGTGCTGAAACAGATCACCAGTCGCAAGGATGGCTACAACGAGAGCTGTGATCTCTGGAGCTTAGGTGTTATTTTGGTATGTCTGCTGTGTACTGTTGGCATTGTTAACCCACTGACTACCAAGCCCATTAACTCTTGCATTCCCCCAGATACCTCGTATTTTAGTGTGTACTAAAAATGCCACAGCTTCACAACTGTTTTATATAATCTCACAATATTTTGAATTTTTTTCACCAAATTGAATGAAGAATGACTTTCAGAGAAAAAAAAGATGTTTATTCTGTTTTGCATCATCATCATGTGGCTGAAGATTGGTGCAAAAAAGGCAACTGAAAAACCTTTTATCTGACAACAATAAAGACTAATTTTAAAAATGTCATATCTTCAAAAAATATTCAACAAACATTTATCATATTTTGTATTTTTGCACAGAATTGAACCGAGAAGACATTTGAGGAAAAAAATTGGGTTTACTTTGTCTGAAATAATCATCATCATCATGTGGTTGTAGATTGTTGCCAAAAAAGGAAACTTAAAAATCCTTTATATTTATTATAGTCATAGCTATTAAACTGTTCATTTATGTCTTCAAATTCTTTTTTTGAAGCAAAATCAGGAAAATCACATGCATCATCAGAAACATTAGGAGAAATATGACCACCACGATTGAAAATGGCCTCAATATCTCACCAACATGGGAGCTAACTAAGAAAATTCGTCAGATATTTACTTTAGGCACTACATAGTTATTTCCCTTAATTGATCACACAAAAGTGAATAAGCTAAAGGCTTATTCTAAATTCGTCATAAAAATCGCAATTTTAACAAAACGTCGGGCGTTCAAAGCTACAGTCGCAGGTGTTGCAACCTTGGCGGCAAGAAGTAAACGTCACCTCGTCGCATAACCAATGCGACACTGGTAGTCAGTGGGTTAAACAAATTACCATGTATTGCTTGGTTTCATAGGAAGAAAAAGAGATAGGAGGACATATTGGAGAACATAAACATTGATAGCTTTACCACACAAGCAGAAAATCACCAAACAGACTTTAAAATAAATATAACGGGATTAAGGAGGTGAAGACGCCAAAAAGAAACCCTGAGACAAACGCTGATGAGAAAGGTCAATGATATCAGAGTGCATTATTCTTCTTCTCTGCGTTCGGTTTTGTATGCTCAGATCAGACCATCAAGTGGGTTGCCTCTGTGAACTCGCATGTCAGCTGCAGGTCCTGCATGGTTCCCCATAGCTTGCTCTGCACACTTTGCTCTTGAGGGGGTAGGGGGAGTAGACGATACAGGTTATGACGTTGAATCAGCAACCATAACAAGCCTACAAGAACTTTATGTCACGAGAGGTATGGCCAGACAGGCACAACATACAGGCAGCTAGAGTAGAATGCTAAACCAACACAGAACCGATGTTACCTGTGGCCACATGCTGAGGGATGTTGTTGAAGATTGGATCTTAGCGCTTATGGACTTGTCCAGTGAGGATGATTGGTCAATTAGCTAACTAAAGATGTGGTCAAGACCTCCCAGGAGCAAGTGAACAATGCAGAGACAGGAATCGATCGTTGTGGTCTGGAGAGAATGGTACAGCTTGGAATGACCAGGGGGGTCTGATTGACACTCTACACTCAGAGAAAAAGCAAGACAGACATATAATCTCCTACTGGCACCCTCAGTATTGAAACTCTTTGCTGGCTGCTGAAGATAAGGACAGAGCATGTAGTGAGATGTTCTTAAAGGCTGTAATATCAGTTCTAAACTCAACACTTAGCTAACTAATTTTCTCTGCTTTTCCAACCCCCAGTAGAGCATAGGCCCTCAACCAACTCATGCCAAGTTGTTCTATCCTTTGTTAGCTAACTAACTAGTGTGTGTCAAATATAGTCTAGATCAGGGCGATTCAACTGGTGGCCGGTGGACCAAAACTGGCCCACAAAGTCCTAGCAAGTAGCCTGCCAATCACCTGCTAACTGTAATATATTAATGGACTTTTTCTACTGGGTCCTCTGGCCTGTGACGACTCCCATTTGTCAACCTTTAGTAAACTTAGTGAAAGGCTGTGATCTAGATGGCAGTGCTAGTTTTACTCTGTTATGATCGTGGAGCACCGTTCAGCTAACCTTTTCTGCTGTTTCAGTACTCAATGCTCTCTGGCAAGGCCCCTTTCCAGGAGTCAGGTGAGCCTGCCTCAGCCTTAAACATCATGCAGCGAATCAAGGAGGGCGAGTTTGATCTGTCCGGACCTGAATGGGCAGATGTCTCTAATTCAGCAAAACAGCTGATACGAGGTTTGTGTGCAGTTTATGATCTTCTTCTTCTCCTCCTCCTCCTGCTCCTCTTCCTCTTCTTTTTCTTCTTCCTCTTCCTTTTCCTCCTCCTCCTCTTTCTTCTTCTTTCTTCTTCCTTCTTCTCTTTCTTCTTCTTCACATTCACCAGCTGTAAACTCCAGTGAAAAGTTCTGGGTGTTTGTCCATTTTCAGACTTTTGTCTTGTTCCAGAACCTGGGTATTGCCTGCACATCTGTTTCACAGATCTGACTTATTTCAGTGCAGACTCTTGGTTCCCTGCCCCTCAGTGCACTACAACTTCGAAGACATGCTTTTCAAGGGGAGGCAGTGGATCTTTTCTTGTTTTTCCCACAGAGGCCCTAGAACCCACATTGTGAGTAAATCTTACTATTCCAAACAAATTGTTACTGTAAATCTTTCTGTTTCAAACAGCTGTTACTGTAAATCTTTCTGTTTCAAACAGCTGTTACTGTAAATCTTTCTGTTCCAGACATATGTTACTGTAAATCTTTCTATTCCTAACAGTTGTTACTGTAAATCTTTCTATTCCTAACAGTTGTTACTGTAAATCTTTCTGTTCCAGACAACTTTTACTGTAAATCTGTTTCAAACAGTTGTTACTGTAAATCTGTTTCAAACAGTTGTTACTGTAAATCTTTTTATTCCTAACACTAGTTACTGTAAATCTTTCTGTTACAAACAGCTGTCACTGTAAATCTTTCTGTTCCTAACAGTTGTTTCTTTGACAGTTTTGAGAATGAATTATCATACAATGTTTAGGAAAGAAGGAATTAAAGTAACAATTTGTATATAATAGGAATTAATATAAAAATTAAATAAGACCAAAGGGTTACGAAAATGCTGTCGTGTGAGTATTCAGGTAAAAACTACAATAATTTATTACCAGAATAGTTAAAATGTAAATCTGAATAATTAAACCAACAAATTATCTTTATTTGCAGGTCTGCTGACAGTGGAACCAAAGAAACGTCTTCGGATGCATGATCTTCTTCGGCACAAATGGCTGCGCAAGAACATGTCCAACACGCCACTGAGGACACCTGGTGTGCTCAACTCTCACAGCAATGTTGTTCAGGACCAGATCAACAACACTATGGAAGCATTCCACCAGGCAACCAGAGATGGTTTCCGTCTCCAGGAAGTGGCTACTGCACCCCTAGCAAAACGTCGGAAGCAGAAGAAGAACTCTGTGGACACCAGAAGTAGCTCAACAGACAGTAATAACTCCAGCTCTACCACATCATCGCACGGGGCTGCTCAATCCCCGGCCAGACAGTCCCCGGTGAGAGCCATATCCAGAAACTCTAGCACATCGAGCATCTCCCAGAGCTCTGTGTGCAGCACAGGATTTGTGCCGACAACCCTGAACATCAGCCCATCCCCACTGGCCTCATCTTCTTTGTCAAAGAGAGCAACACCAGAAGTGTCTCAGGGCTCGTTTAGTGGGTCTTCTTTGACCCCATCTTCAGCAGCTTCGACCAGTAGTGGAATCGTAGAAAGCGCACCGTTTACAAACTCTCCATTTTGCGCTGAAGCTCAGGGGGAGACAACTCCGTTGTCAGTTATTCACATTCCATCAGTGGACGGAGTAGGTGGAGGCGAAGAGCCCAGCGTTGACAGACATCCCTTCACAGCGAAAGGAAAACGTGCCAAGAAAAACACTAACAACAACAGTATACCTCCATTTCGACTCACCCGTGGGTTCAAGAGAAAAATGGATGAAAAAGCCGACCACCTCGTGGGTAATAATAACGATGATGATAATAATGACCATGTTGTTGACGATGATTGTGATGAGGATTGCGTGATTGTGGAGAAGAATTACCCGTCTCCCAGACACAGCCGAAGTGCTTTCAAACGATTGAAGTCGGAAACAATTGTGATAGACTAACAGGAAATGCAACATGCATCAGACTGTTGGTTGTTGTTTTCACTATGTTTGTTATGTTCTTTTTGGTATCAGTGTGCCAGGAAAATCCCTGGATAAGTTATTGAGTACTCTGTTAAATGTATGTGCCTATGTACAATTTGTGCATTTTTATTTTACTTGCAATACACAGTGTGTCCCGACAAATGTATTCACACTTTTCAATTACATCAGCAGCAAATGAATACCAGACTTTCAGCTGCTTCAGGACACACAAAAAACCCAATAAATTCACTCTTAGCTTTGCTACAGTAACTTCCAAATTTTTTTTTTTCCCCCTCTGCAACCTCAAAGTAAATTCTCAATTTGATTCACCCAAGAAATTTCCGAATACATTCACGCTTTAATTTGCCTCAGCAGCTTAAAAATAAATTTACAATTTGATTTACCTCAGTTGCTTAAAAATAAATTCAAACTTTAAATTCTAATATGTGTTCACACTGAATTACCTCAAAACAATTAATATACTGTTTGAATTATCTAAAGAAAAATATGTATACACAGTTTGAAATATTGTAACCCCCTAAAACTGTTTTATAATTAAAGTGAATGAAAGTAATGACAGAAACAAGATTTAGCTTCAGGAGGGAAAAAATGAGAAATTTATCTTAAGTCTCAGTGCCAATGGATTCCTTTCAAACAGGCACATACTGCACTGTCTGTTAAAATATCTGGCCAGATTGCTTTCATATGCTCAAACCAAACATAAATTGTATAATATATGATTTTGTTGATCCCCTGACCAAACTGGCATGATAATTTGTAGCCGTAGCATTTATGAAGTTGAACAGGGCATCTGGGGTTTGATCCTGTTGGATTAACATTTGGAAGGTGGCTCCTTGAGTCAGAGGTGTCAGATCTGCAGATTGCTACCCAGAAGGGGGAAGATTAGAAATAAAATGTTGTTTGTTGCCTGCGATCAGTTGGATCTCACTTTGTGCATTGTTTGGGACACAGAAAAGTTAACAGTGGTACCGCTCGTGTGAGAACTTCACTGAGGTGTCGATACATATTGTGAGGGCGCCTACACAAATATTTATAAATGTACATATGTGTACCCATTCAAACATACGCCTGCAGGTGATAATAGAAATGTAAGTATATTGTAAATATGAAATCTTCTAATGCAGGTTGTCGGCATGTGTATGTGTCAGGGTGTCTGTGTCAGAGTGTATGTGTCAGCATGTGTATGTGTCAGGGTGTCTGTAAAATCTCTCATTGTGTACCAGGAATGAATCCCCCACGCTGCTGGACCTCCCCCACCTTAGAAGCTTGTAGTGAATGTCGGCTAATTAGGGGTGTTTCCTTAAAAATCTGAGTGCATCTGCCTGAGGAAAAGAACCAGCAGTCTGCATGCAAATAGGTCAGATCTGTAAAACAGATTTTACCTTCTCCCTGTTTAAGCTAGGTTTACAAGGTCATTTTGAGAAGAAGAAAATCTGACACACTGGATTTAAACTTGGGGCCTTCAGGCCAGCATGTGAGGACATCTAAAAACTACACCACCATACCTCTCACATCCCAGATATTTATCACGCAGTTTACCATATTTTTTTTCACATATAAAGGTAAAGTCGGGAGATGTGAACCAGCGTCATTGCACACGGTTATAAACCATAAGTGCTCTGCCACCAGAACGGACAGCTGATTAGAAACTGTCCGCCTGTGTTGCCATCCGCACTTAACTCTGTAGCTACAGCAGTGCCCCTCCATTTACCCCAGAGTGTCACTCTGGTACCCATTTCCTTGAGGCTGGGTGAACTCCGGGAACCACCCAGTTTCGAACACCGACCGTGGCTGCAGCGAGTCGCAGCTGGATTTGAAAGCGAGCCTCCTATCGACTGCGCTAACGCCGCTCACATATAAGACACCTGTAAAAGAATGACCCCTACGTTTGGAACTCATAATTAAGAAAGAAATAATTTAAACACTACTCCATGTACGAGCATTATTTTCAAAACATAAACAATTAGGGATCACATATCTCTACTCAGAAAATACGATAACGCTTTCGGTACCATTCAGTGCTTTAGTTAGTCCTAAAACGGTATCCAGTCCAACTTCTTCTTTTATCACAAACAGTTGTTACATTAACTCATTAATTTTAATTGTTAGTTTAACTCCTTCACAGTGTTACTATTTTAACTTCTTTGGACTCAAACCTTGGCAGTTTTAATCTAGAAGTTCTCAGGATTGAAAGAGTTACAATACTTATGGGCTGGTACTGAAGGAGTTTACACCTATACCAGGATTTTGCAGACACCCTGTGGATATCACAATCTGGCATAGTCCATGGCTCTGTCTGAGACAGTGTACAGCAACGGTTCTCAAACTAGGGGCAGCGGCCAACCAGGGGTGCCGCCAGCGTATGCCAGGGGTGCCGCGAGTGTATACCAGGGTTCCTGCGAGCATATGCCAGGGGTGCCTCCAGCGAATGCCAGGGGTGCTGCCAGCGTATGCCAGGGGTGCCTCCAGCGAATGCCAGGGGTGCCTCCAGCGAATGCCAGGGGTGCCTCCAGCGAATGCCAGGGGTGCCTCCAGCGAATGCCAGGGGTGCTGCCAGCGTATGCCAGGGGTGCCGCCAGCGTATGCCAGGGGTGCCTCCAGCGAATGCCAGGGGTGCCGCAAGCGTATGCCAGGGGTGCCGCAGAAGTAATCAAGAATTTTTCCAAATCTGCGAAGACAGCAGTTTAAAACAGAAATACTGTGAAGGAAGCCAAGAAGAGTTCTGGATGCAGGTGTGTTCAGGAGACAATGCTATTGGCAAGGCTACAGTGTATTTTCAACATATGTTTATTTAAAAAAAAAAAAAAATACAGAGCAAGCTTTCTGGGTCAATCTTTTTAGGATAATATTAACTAAACTTCCCATAAACATAAAAGAAATAATGACAATTCATCTAAATAGTTTCATTCATCACCTTATAGACAACTAAACATTAAATATGCAGTTTTTTTCTTTTCCTAAGTATTCAGACCGCTTTAGATGTGCCACACAATTTTGTGTGTGTGCCGTACAAGGGTACCACAGTGAAAAGAGTTTGAGAACCCCTGCTGTACAGGACTTCTCTCTGATGTTCTGTTTTGCCTTGTTAGCCTACAATTTTATGCCCAGAACTGGACTAGTGATCTTTTATGGAAAGATGTTTATATTTAAATTTTATGACAATTTGTGTTGAGTTTGTGTTTGGTTTGTTTTTTTAAAGTAGTTACCTCTGTTTTAATACAGCTCACAGTTAAGTTAATTGTCTATACAGTAGATATAATGGCACTCTGGGGAATTTCAGTAATGCTTAGTCTCCCTTGTTCGTTGAAGCTTTGCATCTTGTATTCAGTTGTTTAGTCTGAATGATGATACAGATGGTGTGAAGTGTTTACACTAGAAATTTAGTTTTCATTGTCCATAATTTGAAGGGTAAAGCAATCACAAAGCAGATGGTGCCATGGAGTAGGAATGTTGTATTAAGAATCAACATCACAGCATCCGGACATTGCCATAAGTGCTGCATCCTCATCTTCAGCAGCAAGTGCAGTTGCAATTCTGATGATACCAGTTACTGTGTGATGTAATAGTGGGAGTGGGAATTATTAGATTTGTATGTCTTCCCTCCAGTAGGAAGAATGCTGGTCTCTTCTCCTTCTTAGTTCCCCGGCTGTAAGCTCTGGTGGAAACTCCTGGTTGTTTGTCCACTTGGACTTTGGTTTTGTGCCCGGGCCTGATTTTGCATGTACATTCGTTTTACTGGCTTATTTGTAAGCAGTTGATTGTTTCTTGCCGCTCGGGCAGATGCACTCCGACTTTGAAGGAAGCTTCTAAATAGTCAAATCCTATGACATACTTGTTGGGGAGGCAGTGGGTCAGTTCCTGTTTTCCCCCTAGTGGGATCCCGGAATCCACAGGGAAGAATGCAGGTATGGTAAGTGAACATTGGACCTTTTCTCACCTTGAAGCATGTTGAGCATATGAGTCTGGCCCCATATTTTTTTTTTCTAAAGACTAATCAGGACTCAGTAAGTGGCAGGGTCTACGGACAGTTGGAACCACAGAAACATCTTTGAATACATGATCTTCTTTTGCACAAATGGCTGCAAAAGAACATGTCCAACACGCCAATTAGGACATCAGGTGGGCTCAACTCCACAGCAATGTTGTCCAGGACCAGATCAACAACAACATGGAAGCATTCCACCAGGCAACCAGAGATGGTTTCCGTCTCCAGGAAGTGGCTGCTGCCCCTCTAGCCAGACATTGGAAGCAGACGAAAAACTCTGTGGAATTCTTCATGGAAGGTGCCCTTACTTTAGGATATTTCCTGATAGCCATTCCAGGCCTGACTGACTTGGGAGCTAAGGTCAGTGACTTGGGAGCTAAGGTCAGTGACTTGGGAGCTAAGGTCAGTGACTTGGGAGCTGAGGTCATTGACTTGGGAGCTAAGGTCTGTGACTTGCGAGCTAAGGTCAGTGACTTGCGAGCTAAGGTCTGTGACTTGCGAGCTGAGGTCAGTGACTTGGGAGCTGAGGTCAGTGACTTGGGTGCTAAGGTCAGTGACTTGGGTGCTAAGGTCCGTGACTTGGGTGCTAAGGTCCATGACTTGGGTGCTAAGGTCCGTGACTTGGGTGCTAAGGTCCGTGACTTGGGTGCTAAGGTCCATGACTTGGGTGCTAAGGTGAGTTTTTTTTTTAATCTGCACCAGTGAGTATTCAACAGCACCACACAAGGCTTGTGGGCAGTAGTATTAGCCACTTGGCCACTGCAGCTCTTATCTTATATGCACATGAGATATGCTGTTAAAATCCTCTTTGGGGGGGGGGGGGGGGGAGACACTTGTGTTGAGAGATCTCTTCATCATCTGTTGCCAGAGCTCTTATCCCAAGTGCTTTAATAAAAGAAAAAACTTCTAGATTTCTTCTTCTTCTGGAAATTCCACAGGTTCGTGACCTTTTTACCCTTAAAAAATAGCAACC